CAACGAGAATCAAAAGCGTAGCCATAGGTCATTAGTGGATGCCAACTTCCGATGGATGAAGACATTTACCATATATTCTTTTTGAGGTACTGGACAAAACCCGGTAAGTACTGAAGATTCAAGGAGCCAAGCATGTTCAAGGGTGTCAGTAATTTTTCTCTAGAAGGTTGATAACACGATCAAACGTATAGAAAGCACATAGCAGACAAACTTACGTAAGCGGCAATCGGCGTCAGGGCTGCACCAAGGTACGAATCAGTAAGTGAAGCCGCGGCGGCACTGTAGTTGTTGGCTGCCAGACTGGTTGCCACAGGTAGACTAGATCGAGCGGCAGCGGCGGCTGCCACGGCCGACTGGGCATAGGCCGCGTCTGAAAAAGCCGTCGCTGACCGCAGTGCGGGAGCGAAGAGCGATTCTAAGCCGAAATTACTTGTCACCGCAGCGATGGCGGGGTTCGCTGCTGCAGCAGCTGCCAGCGCGTACCGGTCGAGCAAGCCGGTTGGATCCATCGCCGCAGGTGCATAGATGATACTAGAAGCACACAGAATATCACAACGGAGAAGAACATCAATTAAATACACTACAGCATCGAGTTATGAGTTACGCAGATGGAATTACAAATCGGTTACTGAATAACAGTTATCGAATAATAACAGCCACAGATGTCGAATTAATATTTGAGTCTAAATTTCAAAGCCTTAAGACCTCACCGAGTCCACGGTTACTACACACAAGAACGATCCTGTCTATCATGAAGCAAATAAGACCAGAACGAGGAGCCCTGTTTCGATGAAGGTTTACCGAAACAGTCAATCAATCAATGTTCGATCCTGATGAAATTATTCGTATAGGCAGAAAAACACGCCAACTGTCAAGTAAAAATTTAACATGGCGTTCTGAACGTTTATCTGCTTGAACAACGCACAAATCAAAAATATTAGCCATGCCACTTATACTGAAAAGCACTGACCAGTGCACGGCTACTTTTCAAGGGATCTTCGGCTATTTCGAGGCATACAAAAAGCATGGTTTACTTAAAATGACAAAAAGCAAATTTATTCCAGGGACTATGCAACGAAACATTAAAGCCTATCGCAGCAGCTGATAGTGTAGGTAACGTCTTATCAATTGTATTATCATGGGTTTATTCCACTATATCAGTATATTTAATGTTTTCCTCGCTTTGAATTTGGTATCTTCAGTTGAACTGCTTTGCTATGATATGATTCGTCGCGAGGGGTTTTCTACCGTAAAGTCTTTTTCATCTGTTCTGCAGATGCAAATTGTATGTTCTGTCTGTAGTTTCGGAGTTTGCTTCTATTCCTCGCAAAGTAACCATTTCAGAACAGCAGCTAAAGTTTCAGCTGTGCTGCGAAATCCGTATTTAGAGAAATTGAATGCTTAATAACAATTTCACCGTATGAATAATTTTTTGTTTTGGAATAGGTTACTGAAAGATGGTAGGCGATGAACAGAAAAGTATTTCTGTTGCCAGTGAAACGATACGAGAAGCATCTGACCTGCAGGTACTCAGAAACGCGACCTTTCAAATGGAACTTTCTCTTAAGGAACACAGGAAAAAGACGATGCAACGCCGTAAAATCCGGTCACTGAAAAAAAGCTAAACCATTAATACAATGCGGTATTTAAACCCATAATTTAGACTTTTATCCCAAACGCCGGTATGTGCGTGAATTTTTGCAAACGGAAGACACTCACGGCAAATATCCGGAGAAGGGTGAGGCTGTAAGTGCGCCTCCGAGCGAATTGCTGGCGCGCAGGGCTGCTAACGCGGCGGCATAGGCAGCTGGTCCTCGGGCGACGCGACTTGTCTGTTGCAGAGCAGCGCCTCGCAAAGCAGCCACGAGGTTCGGGTCTGAAGAAAGCGTAATACAACGGTCGAAAAGACTGCCAATTTAAATCACACACACCGATACCTGACGATACTAGTTTGGGTTTGGTCCGCGTATGCACTCTGGCCGTAGCGTTATTCACCTGAAGAAAACGAATACGGTTAACAAAGCAAAACGCAATAAAACAGTTATTTCCTCACGGCCTAATATGCAGAATGAGACGAGGAAATTTCCCCGTTAAAAACAAGCCGCTTTTAGATGAAAGTCACGAAGATACGTTTAACGGAAGAATAAAGACAAAAAGAACAAATAAATGCAGAAGTGATAAAGAGTGACAGCTTGAAAGTAAAGATGCTTGAGATAACTTCATAGATTTGAATTGTGTATTACTTAAATACAATAAATACTTAAATACAATAAATACTTAAATACTTATTACCTAAAAATAAATAAAGGTGTCAGCAATTCGTTGACTGCAGAGACAAAACATAAAACTGAATCTAAAACGACTACTTTACTGTCAATGTTTCGGTCAAAAAACGTTAACCACTTTTAAAGTTTAACTTGAAAATAAGCAGCGCTATTTGGACAAAAAATTGATAGTAAAATTTAAGGATTTTAAAATCAGCCTTCTTTGGGTTGTGCATATGACCATCGGATCCATCCGTACATAGACAGAATCGAAAGAGTTTTCGAAATCATGTAAACAACAACATACGTTACAACGCCAGTAATATCTGCGACTCTGGATGAGCTTTCGGCTCGCCGACAAAGAAACAGAGCAGAGACCAATGCCGAAATCAAGTCTCACCGCCAATCGCTGGTGCGAACAGCGATTCGAACAGTCAGTCGGTCACCTAAATAGCGACGGAGGCGAGAGAGGAGTCGAAGACCACCACCACCACCACCACGAAATGAGGCGTGACGACACGTAGATGAGGATCACCAGACCAACACAGCGGATCAGAAGAACCGCCGCTGCCAACCGGTAGTCGTCGTCCAATTTGCTGCAGTACACACGCCGGCTGACGATCTGCGGAGAACAAACAAGTAATCTAATCGTACTGTCCATATCCGCGTTTTACAGTGATACAACGTGACAAAAATCGATTCAGTTCGCCAAAGCGTCGAGCAAGGCTAACAAATCGCAAGTGCATTATCATCGCAGGCAGAATGCAGGTGTAGTGGATTCCGACGGTGGCAGCTGACGGACAGGCCGAACCAAAGAAAGGACGGACGACAGCAACGGTAACATTACCCAACGGTCAAGCAGCAAAAATATACGACCACCAGATCAGCCATATGCTTTATCGTATGGGCTGTACGGCCTACCATCGCCAAACGCCAACCGTCACCAATATCCATATTAGGCCAATGAGCAGACGTACCGGACAACACCGAAGAGTTAATCACATGCCATGCATACCGCATCCGTCAGCGTTACGGTGCACAACGAAGACGATTAAAGAATCTCTTGCCGTAACATTCGCAGTCATTAAGTCATTTTCGTACTAATCGTTAGCGAATCCTCACTGAGCACCGCACTTTCTATGCACACTTGATTGAAACAAAAATTATCATAATCTTTCACGTCACTGTTATTTCACTTCTTCTACACTGATACTGTATCTCTTAACGATCACCGTTAAAAAGCATCTCACAAGTGCTGAGACTGAATTATCGACAAACAGAAACTTGTTGAATTCTAAGTGGTATTTGACTACACATAATATACGATGTCGCCACATGCTTTATGGCCTGTGCTCTTAACTTCAGTAGGAACGGTGATTACTTTTGTGGGACTGCTACTGGACTAGTTCTCAACCCTAAGAATGTTACTGTTGCCGGACTTATTGTCTCATTACACCTTGTCACCGACTATGCAAACAAATTGTTACAATCTTCTAACGGACTGGTCCATTACCTCAATTATTTCTACTACACCCCCATGCTTGCATTTTAATAGTCTTTTTATATTTCAACGCTCGCGATCTAGTCGTTCTGAATGTGTTGTCAAAACAGCATCGCGCTTTAGTGCAATTGCTTCATTTTACCATAGTACTGTACTATTATTAACAACCCAGTATACTAATCACAGGACCGAATTTTGTCACAGATTTTACAATCTACGTGTCCGCGAACGACCTATAGCAAAACTCTTAATGTTATTGTTTGACATCATGTTTCCGTAAGTGTCACTTAAACGGTACCTGTTCTGTACTTCTACTGATACGGTAATGCTACACCTATAATGGTGACAGTAAGGAAAATATCTTAAAACATTTGAACTTGAATCCTGACTTTCATCAAGATATATGAACTTCCTACCTGCAGTATTGGCTTCAAATAAGCCCAGCGTAGCAGAGCTTTTATACGTGGCGCAGGTTCCATAGTCACAAGACCGTCTTACAATTCGTGAATGTAACTCTACCCATCTTTTGTACTTCAGAGTGATATATATTGATACAATCAGGAAGAAACGAAACATAATAACACAGCCTAGGTTCTTCTATCCTGCGACTATGGGACAAACGGAAGGTCACTCGAGCAATATTTGATTGCTATTCTAATTTTGTATCACTGAACAGCTTTCATATATCGTTGATTATAAAACGGCAGATACTGCATTCGAACAGAAATCTATCCTGGCAGACGATATCGAAACATGGATCAACGCCACGACAAAATCTCCATGAAAGTTTGGCGTTATCATGAGAACGCAACAAAGATCACGGGGTCTTAGTCGATACAGCGTAGAACTCAGAACCAAAAAGTTCTGGTATGTAGTCCCGGTCGGGGTCACTCACTTTTATTCAATCTGAGGATGATAAATGAGTACCACTGTGGAAAGTAAACAGCAGAATATGCGTTAGTCTTGTTGCAGAGCGGAAGACTCTGCCTTTAAAAAATAAAACAATCCTGCCTGATGACACAGAAGCGGAGATCAAAGCAGCATCACAAGCTTAATGAAATGGAAAGGGCACTATAAATAGCCCCCCCAATCACAACGTACAATGGAGATCGACATCCCAATGGTCAAAAACTATCCCTTTTCCAACGGCGACCGATGGCTGGTGACTTATACCACAGAGACTTACTGCATTTCCAGACAGATATTTATTTTTATCCATACGAGGATGAGCGTACTAGATTTCGTGCTAAAAAACCGCTTCGAGGCATTTTGATTCCTTCCATGTTACGGCATGGCGAGTACTGTCCCCAACAGGCAACCATGGTATTACCGCAATAGCATGAGAACAAATCATAACCAAGGGAGTGGACGTGAAGCAAATGGCCCATGAACATCAGGAAATGTCGCCCCAAGCCAACAGATTTCACTGAACTGTATCTGATCTAACGTAGCCAATCAATAAACGTCTTAATACTAAATAATACTCATACGTATCAAATCGAACACAATTAACATGGTTAAATAATCCAAAACGCATCAAGCAACTTTCTGATGTATGGATACACAAGTAAAGTGTGTACAGGCACGATGCGATAAAACAAACCAATAAAAACCGTCGCAGACTTACGACGAACCAACAAACATTCATCGAACGAACGAAAAACTACGCAGAGCCCCAGATATACTGGCATGCACGTAACCATAATCATATTCATAATCATAATAATAAGGATAATGAAAAGCGACCAATATCAATCGACCAGGGCTGTTACAAGTGAGTGATGCAGCAGCAATAAAACGTATAGATATTAAAAATAGACAGCAACGTAGCGCTTAGTGTGTGGGTGCGAAAAAGACAAACCGAATGGAGAGTGACCGCCAGAGTCGATCAACATCTCAGAGAAAAAAGCAAACAGACAAAGGAGGATAAAAAACGCGACCATGGCCATTGGCCGAAAATATGCAGCCGAGGCGGTGATTACAAAACAAAACAAATATTTAAAAAATAAAAGCACGAACCTCAACTTTGCGTCCCTCGATGATCGAACCGTTAAGACTCGACCGCGCCTTTTCGGCGTCTTCAGAACACTGCATCGTAACAAAGCCGAAACCCTGCAATTAAAAAATTGGGTGGTAGACCATGCAACATTCATCGACCAAACCGAATCGACTCACTTACACACATGCAAACGCAATATCATCTATGTACAAAAGTAAACAGCAACAAAAGCCCACGTGTTCAATAAAAAATATGAACATTAACCAAACGTCAAAAAATTTTTATAATCGTAACAAACATGTTCATGGCAACTGCACCGCTGCCCCTGTCAACAACAATATTTACCAACACCTACTTCTACAAGCAACAAACATTCACTTTTCACAAGAATGTTAACCTAAGCTGTGGTACCGTGCCAGTTTTATTTAACTTTAATTAACATATTCAGTTAAAATGCAATTATTTTCTATTTTAGCAGTTTCACTGATTTCAAGAAGAATATGCAAATCAGGGTGAGAAGTCATGCCATCAAAAGTTTACAGCTATTGTTCGTCACGAACCGAGACAGCATAAGGAGATCGTGAAAAAAGGCAAAATTCTCTGCGAAAAGTGTGGAAAAATTTGGAATGAAAATTAAAAGTGAAAGGTAGAAACA